CCGAGGGACGTGGGCGCCTGGCCCCTTTGTGGACTTCCCGACCGCCAACATCTGGGCGCCGCGCGGACACCGCTGGCCGCCGCTGGCCTGGGAGCCCGTAGGAGGCGCAGCCGAGGCCAGAGACTTCAGTTTGGGACCAGGTGGGCAGGAGGGGCGCGGCGAGGGGCCGGGGGAGGTGGGGGGGGGGCGCACTGGCTGGTCCCGGGCGCTGTCCTCGCTTTCCCCTCCCCTTCCCGGGTCCTTCCCGGCAGGAAGGGACGAGGCAGGGATCAGGGCGGATGGACGCCGGGGAGCCTAGGTTCCCGGAATGTCCAGGCTGGGGCCGCGGCTTCTCTCTGCCCCCCGCCCGGCCTCGGGTTTCACCCTCCGTCCCCATCGCCTGGGGCCACCGGACTGAGCGGCGCCCGAGCGTCCCGGGGGCCCTTCTCCCGCTTTCCACCCTGGCCGCGCTCCCGGACACCCAACTTCCGCGCCCGAGTTTTCCACTCGGCGCCCTCCGGGTGCGCGCTGGGAAGACCCCCGGCGGCAGGGGCGGGGCGGCTCCGCCCGAGCCCGGGGCGGTGGGTAGGGGCCCGGGCGCGAGGAGAGTCCGGGCACTGATGGCGCGCGCTTCCTTCTCGTAGCCCCCCGGGATGCGGTAGCGGCCGCTGTGCGGAGGCCGCCAAGCAGCTGCAGCCGCCGCCGCCGCCGCGCAGACCCACGCTGGCTCCGTGCGCCATGGTCACCCACAGCAAGTTTCCCGCCGCCGGGATGAGCCGCCCCCTGGACACCAGCCTGCGCCTCAAGACCTTCAGCTCCAAGAGCGAGTACCAGCTGGTGGTGAACGCAGTACGCAAGCTGCAGGAGAGCGGCTTCTACTGGAGCGCCGTGACGGGCGGCGAGGCGAACCTGCTGCTGAGCGCCGAGCCCGCCGGCACCTTCCTCATCCGCGACAGCTCGGACCAGCGCCACTTCTTCACGCTCAGCGTCAAGACCCAGTCGGGGACCAAGAACCTGCGCATCCAGTGCGAGGGGGGCAGCTTCTCGCTGCAGAGCGACCCCCGAAGCACGCAGCCCGTGCCCCGCTTTGACTGTGTGCTCAAACTGGTACATCACTACATGCCCCCCACGGGGGCCCCCTCGGTCTCGTCGCCCCCACCTGAGCCCTCCTCGCCCTCCTCCGAGGTGCCGGAGCAGCCACCTGCCCAGCCGCCTCCGGGGAGCTCCCCCAGGAAAGCCTATTACATCTACTCGGGGGGCGAGAAGATCCCCCTGGTGTTGAGCCGGCCCCTCTCCTCCAACGTGGCCACCCTCCAGCATCTCTGTCGGAAGACCGTCAATGGCCACCTGGACTCCTATGAGAAGGTCACCCAGCTGCCTGGGCCAATCCGGGAGTTCCTGGACCAGTATGACGCCCCCCTTTAAAGAGCCAAGGGCAGGGGTCGGGGAGGGGGGGCCCGGCGTCCCCCTCCTCTGGCATATGGCACAAGCACAAGAATCCAGCCTGGAGAGGCCCACCGCTCTGGGTGACCCGGGGTGGACAGGCGCCTCCCCCGCCCCGCCCCTGCAGATGGGGCCGCGGACCTGGAATGTGTTTGAAGGGAGGGGTAGCGCCACCTGAGCTCCCCTCCCCCACTCCAGCTTCTCCGGAGGAGCCAGCTGGCCTTTTGGGACAATGGCAGCGACAAGTGGATTCTCCTGTCCTCTTCCTTGCCTCCACTCCGCCTCTGTTTCTGCACGGGGGAGGCTGCGGGAGAGCTGAACTCTTGCGAAGTGCCGGGAATCATCAAACTTTCCAGAGGAACTTGTTTGCTCTTTGATTTGGTTGAAACCGGAGCAGGTTGTGGGGCCTAGGGAAGGATGGAAGAGAGAGGGGGCCTGGGGGGCCCCAGGGCTGCCAGCTGGCCAAGGAAATGGGGGCCTTTTGCTGCAGAGGGGTGCGCGCCCCGCTCCAACCGCCCAGTCCAGGTGAGGAGGGTGGGAGTGTGCTCTTCTCCCTGCCTCTGGGGAGAAGGGCCAGGGCGGCCGGGAGGGGACCATATCCTGGTTGGTGCGGGACTCCCTCCTGAGCTCTGACCCCTTGATCTCTCCCCTCCCTCGGGACAGTCACAGGAAACAAAGTCCTGGAGTGCACCTCAGGCTGAGAGCCCAGAGACCTTCCCCCGTTTTAAGGGAGAAGTGGCGTTTGGAGGGGCATGGCTGGGGGCTGCCCTGTCATTTTCCTTTCCCCAGCCGGGCTGAACATTCTAGCACTGGGGGAGGGCGGTGAGCCACCTTTGACCCCCCAGTAGAGAAGGTGGGGGATTCTGCTTGGCGCCCCCTGACTGTCTGGCTAGGAGAGTCACCCTAAATGCTCCCTGTCCCATGGATAGGGATGGCACACGAGAAGCCACCACTTGGCCAGGCCAGGCAGGGAGGCCAAGCAGTTCTCCCCAGAGAGCACGGGGGAGAGAGCATGGGGTTGTCCGCGCTCAGCCATCCTTGGGACGGTGGGGGGGGGGGGTGGGGGCGGAATCCATGCCTTCCACTAAGCAGTAGGAGAAAGTCAGTTACTCTGGATGTCAGCCCAGTTGTATTGGCCAGTCATTCCCGGCAGAGGAGAGCCACCAGGTCCTCTAGCCCCCCAGGCCCTGCACAGCCCTCCCCCCCGTCGCCTGGGGGAGGCAGGCAGGAAGTCGGAGCCGGCTGCCTGCTGTTCTTGCTGCCCCCGCTCTGCAATAGCACTGATCAATGAAAACCTACAGGAATGTAGCAGCGACGGAGTTACCTGGAACTGTTCTTTTTTTTGGGGGGGGGGGGACAAAACGAACACACACAAGGTCTTCTGGGTCAGATGCTGGAGCCGGCTGGGGGGCGGCTGTGTGTGGGGTGGGTTTTTTTGCTGTTCGTTCCCTTCTGTTTTTCGTTCGTTCAGTTGTTTTCAATAATGTTTACAATCTGCCTCAATCACTCTGTCTTTTATAAAGATTCCACCTCCAGTCCTCCCCCTCCCCCCACCCAGGCCTTCCAGGCTGTTCAGAGATGCTTGAAGAACTAAACAAAATACCAATTCAAGTCAAACTTTGCACATATTTATATTTATATTCAGAAAAGAAACATTTCAGTAATTTATAATAAAGAGCACTATTTTTTAATGAAAAACATGACTTGAACTTTCTTCCCCCCACCCCACCCCTTCTCTGCTTTGCTTTCTCTTTCACCCACACCCACACTGTGCATCCGAAGAGAAGGAGCTGGGAGCCACAGAGGGTGGTGGCTCTGCCCTCTGACCAGCAGCCCCAAGAAACTTGGGGCCCCGGGCACTGGCACCAAAACGTCTTCACGTCACTGTGCCCGCCCATTTGTCACTGGGGCTGCCACCGTGGCTGTCAGCACCAGGGGTAATTCCTGCTAGTCTGATTCAGATCTAACCAGAATATGCAAAGCAAGTTCGAAGGAAGCGCTTCAAAGGGCTTCCAGGGAGCAAGCTGAGCTGTGGTCAAAGCTTTTAGAGGCTCTAAGCTATTAGGCGCTCTGGCTCCTCAGGCAGGGAGGTGTTCCCAGAAAGCCCAGACAATTGGGTCCTGGGTGACCTGAGACCTCCGCACATCAGGGTTCACGGGCGGTGGGGGAGGGGCAGTCCAGCTGCAAACCCTGCAGGCAGGTAGGGCACTCTCCAGGGGACCAGGTATTCTGGGGCTTCCTGGCCTCTTCTCTCCCCACACCTCCACCTCGCGTCTCACGTTCCTCGGTTCCTCGGTGCCCCGACCTGAGCGCTGGGCAGGGCCTCCGTCCTCCAATCAGCAGCCGTCTATTCTGTTTTCGGGCAGGCTGTCCCGTACCCTGGGCACTTAGAGGCTACCTGGTTGAACCCTCCCAACCACCCCACAGGCAGGTGCTATCATCCCATGTTTTCTGACCCAGGAGCGTGGGCTCCGTGTGAGCGGGGTTGGACTGGTCACTTGTGGTGCCTAGAGCGGGGCTCGGTAAATATTTGTCGACTGAATGGAGGCAGCGACTGGGGTGCAGGGAGGTTAAGCAACCCGCCCAAGGACACATCCCTTGGAATGCGGGAAAGAGGATTGAAACCCAAACCAAAAAAACCAAACCCGCTGCCGTCGAGTGGACTCCAACTCATAGAAACCCAGGAGCGTTTTATTCCCCAAATCCACAGACTTCCTGCCTCCCTACAGGCTAATCATGTGCCCACCATCGCCGCTGGTGGGTCCTCCCTGCAAAGCCAAGAGGGTACCCCACCGCCATCTTGGGGTTCCAGCACTGGAGTTCCACTAAAAACTAACACCTTTGTGGCATTTCCCTTCTGCGTCTGCCCCACCCCCCACCCCCCAGACCCAGCAGCTGGGGGGATGAGTGTCACTCCCAAGTAGGGGCCCTGTTCCCTCCTCCGGGCCTCAGATGCCTGCAACAAAAGCCAGAACCCTTTTCCCAACACCCAGCAAGCCGCGCCAGGAATTGGTGTCCAAAAGGCAAAACACGGAGAGCAAATAAACAGTCATCTTTCTTTCCCATTTCCTGGGCTTTTGGGGAAAACGACCTAACGTGTTGACAAAGGGCCAGGTGTGAGACGCCACACAGAGCTGCATCGAGCAAATGGGAACCAGCAACCCAGGTACTGGGAATCCAGACCCAGGCAGAGTCACCACCTTCCCAGAGCACAAGGTGGTGGGGCGGCGGGGGGAGGAGACTCTGGGGACTCCCCCAAGGATGCAATCCTGGGGAAACCCTGGACCTGCCGGCCCGCAGCTCCTCCATCACCTGCCTTCCTCGGGAGAACGCCACACCACGCGGGCTGGAAGGATGACAGGGCACTGGAACCTCGGCGCCGGGCGCTCAGCATCACCGTCCCTGGCACCAGACACAGCTGGTTTGTCGAGCATTCAGCTTTCATAGGAAAAGGGCTTTCCGCCTGGGGGAAGCTGCTGTCCTTGCCCCCTGGGTGTTGAGCCTTGGTTTTAGGCAGACAGGCAGGCAGGAAGACCCCTGACTTTTCCTGACCCGCAGCTCCCTGCCCGCCCTGGCCTCCTTCCCAAGGCTTCTCTGGCGCTCTGTTTTCAGATCTGCAGACCCTGGACCAACCCCCTGGTTTTGCAGACAAGGAAACTGAGGTCCAGAGAGGGGAGTTGACCTGTTCCTGCTCACTGCAACACCAGGGCAAAAATCCTTCCTAATTCCTCCGCTTGCCAGCGGCTTCTTCCTTTCCCTTCTCATCCCAGCCTCCTTCGGTTCCCAAAGTCTTTCCCTACTGCTCAACCCTTGCAGGGGAGGACACTCCTCCAAACAACTTAGTGGAGGGCCGCTGTCCTGGCCGCCAGAGGAGGGGTGCCCCGGTCCCAAGATTGGCTAAGAAGTAGTCTGCACAGAACGGGATAATTCCCTGGGGCTAGAGCGGGTACCCCTGGCCCTGCCTCAGCGCGTTAGCGCTAGGGGTCCTAGCCGCCAGAAAAGGGCCAGGCAGTCCCATGCCCCTGTGTCCTGCCTGCATCATTCCACTTCTGCGGCGCAGGAGGTCCCCTAAGAGGCCCTCCCCTCTCTCCGGGGCTCCTCCTCGGCGAATGAGCGCCAGGAATGGGAAACTCGAGGTCTGCTCTGGGGGGAGGGCGAGAAGGAGACCCCTGACGGGGAGCTGGAGGTGGAAGAATGACATTGTCTGGGCAATGAGGACCGCTGTTGGGGTGCACGGCGGGGGTACCAGGCAGCGAGCGCTCTTTACGGGAAGAGGGAGAGCCAGGCACCGAGTCTGAGAGGAGACGGAGTCTGCGGGGTGGCGGGTGGGAGAGCGTGCATGCAGGGGGCGCAGGGTCCAGGCCCGCTGCGGGGACAGGAACCCCTGCCGGAGCCC